AAAAATGCTGTTATGTAGTATTCTTATTTTGAATGAGGTCATACACTTTTCACATGTCTATTTCCTATAGACCATTAGTTCATATATATTTTTTCTATCAGTTAATGGTATATTTTCTCCTTCATCTGTAAAGACGGAAAGGCCTGAGGCTGGGGGAGGTCGAGGAAGGGAAACATTGGGACCCACGGAGGGGCGAGTAGGAGTGCTGGGCTGAGGACTGGCAGGAGTTGCAGATGATCCTGGTTTTCTTCTTGGAAGGTTGGGTCTCTGTAGTGGCATTCTCAAAGGACATGGTAGGAAGATCAGGTCCGTTTGGGAAATGGTGAGTCTGAGGTTTCTCTGGGAGGTGCAAGAGGAAAGGTCTGACAAGCAATTGCACATTCAGGTCTGGAGCTGAGGAGAGGTCTCAGCGGGAGATGGAGCTGTGAGGCAGCACCTCAGGAGGCTGAGTGGGGGTAAATGTGTGGAGGGAGGCAGAAGAGGAGACACCCTAGAAACACCAACACGTAAGGGGCAGGTGGAGGAGGAGCCAGTGAAGGAGGCTCGGAGAGAGGAGCCAGAGCAGCTGCTCAGATTAGCATCGGAAAAGCTGAGAAAGGTTGCCGGGTTCGGTCCTAGGTTAGGGCACATAGAGAAGGCAACCGATGGATGTTTCTCTCTTTCTCCTTCTCCCCCTTCTCTCTCCAGAATCAATAAAAATATAATTGTAAAACATAATAATATTAATAGTATTCAACTCAATTTTGTCACAAAATATAATAATACTGACTTCTTGGAGCAGAGTAAGTCGCTGGGTGTCAGGTGATTGGATAGACAAGCCCCTTCCCCTATACCAGGGGTTCTCAGCAGGGACTATTTTGTCCCCCAGGGGACATTTGGCAGTGTCTGGAGGCATTTCAGAGAGGAAGGGCGTGGGAGAGAGATAGAAACATCAATGGTAAGAGAATCCATGATAGGCTGCCTCCTGCATGCTTCACAATGGGAGACAGAGCCTGTAAGCCAGGCATGTGCCTTGACTGGGAATTGAACTCTGACCTCTTGGTTCATAGGTCGACACTCAACCACTGAGCCACACCAGCTGGGCTAGAGACATTTTTATCATGCCTGGGAGTGGGAGTGGCACTGATATGTGGTGGGTAGATGCCAGGGATGATGTGAAATATCCCACGATGCACAGGATGGTCCCCCGCCATGAAGAGTGATCAGGCCAAACAAAAAATGCTGCACCCTGCACTTGTGAATGTGTCTTGCTTGAAGCGGCCAGCTCTTCAGCCAGCTGATTATTTTCAAGAGACTTGAACTTGGACTCCAAAGACCTCAGCCTCCCTTTCCTCATCCAGCAGACGGGGATGCTGAGGGCTGCCTTGCCTGTAGCCATTCCACCTCCTGCTGGTTGAGCCTCTTTTTCCTGGTATAGGCTGTCCCTCGTGTCTCTTCCTCTCTTCACAGTCGTCCAGAGAAACCATCTGATTTGCTGTCCTCCATTTGCTGGATTTCTGTTGTCTTCCATCCCCAGAGCAGCCTTTGGGGCCACAGAGCCACCCCTAAAACCCTGCAGAGCAAAGGAGGCAGAGAAAGAGAGAGACCCGGGGAGACACACTCCGCGGCCAGCTCCTCTGAGCACCCCGTTATTCAGGGTCTCAGTACTTCGTCTGTTTCCTTCCACGCGGTGTGTGTGGACTTGGTTCTATTCCTCCCCAGGCAGCTCTGCTCCCGAGGTCAGAACCCACGCTTGCCAGCGTCCCCAGCCCCTGCACAGGGCCTGGCGCTCAGGATTTCTATGTGGAGTGTGCAAAGGGAGAGCCAGAGAAAGGAAAGGGCCAAGAGACAGATACAAGGAAGGAAGAGAAGCCAGGAAAGGAAGAGAGGAGGGGGAGGAGGAGTGGTGAGTGAATGTGAAATGCCGAGAGATCTAAACTGAAGAGGGAAGAGCCAGGGTCAAAGGTCGAGTGGAGACTGAGACTTGAGCACCATACAGACTAGCTAAGAGGGGGATATGAAGAGAAAGATGAGAGATGAGAAGGGTGGAGAAAGAAGGGAATAGGCATGCGATTAGAGAGAGACAGAGACGGAGAGAGGCGGTAAATGGCGAAACAGAGAGGCAGAGGCTGGAAGAAAACCCCTTTGAGGGCTGGGCGCGGGATTGCAGGTTCTTGGACCCAAAGGCCCGAGCTGGAGCAGCGCGGCTGGGAGCTCTGGATGCTGGAGCGGTTTCCATGGAGACAGGAATGCTCCCCGCGGGAGAGGAAACACCGAACCCCCGAGGGGAGGGCTGGAGAGGAGGAGGAGGGGCTCCCTGGGTTTGTCCTCCCCCCAGGCTCTTTCCCATCCCTGCCTCCTGCTGGGGTGGGGGTGAGGGTGGGGAGGGAGGTGGATGGTGGGAGGCACCGAAGGGCTGCGTGAGTCCGCCCCTTTTCTCTCCTCTCCCCGCCCTGAATGAAGGTCGATTCTCCTCCCTTTTGCAAAGTGTCCGGGACATTTGGGGAGACGCGTCCAGCCTCCTCCGTAGGCTCCTCCTCTCTGCCAGTGAATGCTGGAGCACCCCGGGCTCAGGCCTGAGCCTCCTCTTCAGGTTCCCGTTGTGCCCAGTCCCGGGGATTTGCACGCCTACAGCTCCGCTGGCTGCATCTCCAGCACCGACTCTCCCCCTCACCCACCAGCCTTCCTCTCCGTTTGAGGGCCTGACGGGTGCCTCCAAACTTGTTGAATTCCTTAACTCGCCCAGCTCCTTCCTGCCGCAGGGCATCTTGCATTTGCCATCCCCTTGGCAGGAAGTCTGTCCCCAGCACTGAGGTGGCCGCCGTTCCACCAGAGCGCTTGTCCCAGGAGGCGGGCATGGCAGAGGGAGGAAGTCTGCTGGGTGTGTGTGGTCCCCATGCTGTGCAGGAACTCTGCATCAGCAAGGGACACCACCTAGGGGCAGGGGGACACTGTCTGTCGCAAGGAGTAGGAGGTGAGGCCAGAGGAGGCCAACGGAGAAAGGGGGGGAGGAAAGGAGGAGGGCCCCGCTTCACTGTCAGGCAGGAGTCTGGGTTCTCAGGAGGAAGGTTGGCAAAGCGTAGGGCACCCTCCCTATGCTGGAAACTAGATGGACAGTGGGTAGAGCTGACCCCCACCCCCACTTGTCATTGCTGTCCTCCAAAACCCATGTTAAGGCCCTGGCCTGTTTGGCTCAGTGTCTAGAGCGTCAGCCTGCAGGCTGAAGGGTCTTGGGGTCCATTCTGGTCAAAGGCACATGCCCGGGTTGTGAGTCGGATCCCCAGTAGGGGGCGTGCAGGAGGCAGCCAATCTGATTCTCTCTCATCACTGATATTTCTATCTCTCTCCTTCTCTGAAATCAATAATAATAATAATAATAATAATGATAATAATAATTTAAAAAGCCAGGTTAAGCACTCAGTTGGCTGGCATGGAACCTTTAGGTTTCAGACACAGTAATAACCCTGTCGCTGGCGGGACCATCAGACACCAAGATGGCAACATCAAACCGCACAGTCTCAGATCACAGGGCAGCCAGCACTGCAAGGGGAGGGAGGACACCGCCTCTGGGGCCTAATGAACCTGGTTGGCTCTGATTGGTTGTATGGGGCATGTGTCCCTCTCCAAGCCAATCAGTTATCAGAGAAATACAATGTGCTGATTGGCTCACCCTTGAGTCCCACTCAATAGGGTAAATACTTGGAGGAGCCCAAGAGATGGACCCAAGTGGGTCACTAAACACAGAGGGCGAGGGTGCCCAGCAAGGTATCAGCAGGGGCCCATTTTGATTCAAATGCTTTTTTTTTTTTCCCCAAAGAAGAAGGCAGAGAGTGATAGGAACATCAATGATGAGAATCAGTGATCAGTTGCCTCCTGCATGCCCCTCACTGGGGATCAATCCTGCAACCAGGGCACATGCCCTGACTTGGAATCTAACTGTGACCTCCTAGTTTATAGGTCAGTGCTTAACCACTGAGCCACACCGGCTGGGCCAAATGCTTTTTTTTTTTCTTTCTTTGCCTTGCCCTCATCTGAAACCAAGCCCCTCCTTATTTGTGTGATTATTATCATGACTAGTTTGAATAATAGCTACCATTTCTGCAGGACTCACTGTGCCAAGCACATCACACTTACTGCTTGTTGTTGCAACCTTTACGATTACTTGAGAGCCATCATTACCCTCATTTCACAGATGAGGAAGCTGAAGCTCAAAGGTGACAGAACTGGCTCGAGATCACACATCTAGGAAATGGCTGAGCCACGATTTGAGCCCTGTAGGGCTTTTCTCCAATGGCTCTCTCTCCCCTCACCCCCCACCTAACGTGCAAGCTTCATGAGGCTAGAGTCCAAGTACCCTCCCCGCGCCTCGTCCAGTGCCTGGCACAGAGTAGGCCTTCCATAGCTACGTGAGTGAGTGAATGCCTGGCGCTGTGCTATGTGTCTTTCAAGTATTACTTCCTTTAATCCTCACAAGCAGACCACCTTGGGAGGTAAGTATTCACTCTGCTTCCCATCACACAGACAAACAGGAGGCACAGACCTAGGCTCAGACCCCATTGTTCTCACCCCAGTCTGTGCACAGTGCTCCAACTGTGTGAATGAGGACATAGTTCCAACATCTTGGCGGAAACGAAAATATCACTCAATAACTATGTGTTGAATGAACAACCTAAATAAGTCGATGGTGATGAGGATGGGAGAGGGTGAGCATGGCCAAGGTGGGAGAGGGTAAACATAGGTGAAGGGAAGTGACTGTGGTTTGTTACTTTCTCATGCTTCCAGGAAGGGGCTGGTGCGATGGGGGAGGGAGAGGGCATGATGGGTCCCGGAAAGCTCCAGCTCTTCTGGGCAGTCGGTGTCATTCCAGGCCCACGAGTTTCTGGAACCCACAGGAACCGGTGAGCGGGCTTTTGGGTTGCTGGGCGGCATGAGGAGGGCCCCTGGGGGTGCTCGGCTCTGAGGAGTAACCATCCCCTTCTGCCTTCCTTCCTGACCGCGGGGCTGGGCCTCGCGCCCCTCAGCTCTGTGCCTCGTGCTGGGCTGCATGATCTTCCCCGATGGCTGGGACGCCGAGACCATCCGGGACATGTGCGGGGCCAAGACCGGCAAGTACTCGCTGGGGGACTGCTCGGTGCGCTGGGCGTACATCCTGGCCATCATCGGCATCCTCAACGCCCTCATCCTCTCCTTCCTCGCCTTCGTGCTGGGCAACCGGCAAACCGATTTGCTTCTGGAGGAGCTCAAGCCCGACAACAAAGGCAAGTGCACGCGTCTGTGTCCTCCAGTGGGCAGGGGCGGGCGGGCCCGTGAGGGCTGATGGTGATGCAGGAGTTGGGGATGGTACAGACAGGATGATCGCCTTGGAAACAACACGGCTTTATGTCTCAGATCCGAGCCCACCAGTGGGTATAAGCCCATGAGAAACTTGTGAGAATGGCCTTGGCAGCTGTTTCCAAATAGCAGAGGACTGAAAGCAGCCTACATGGCCATGGACAGGAGGGTGGACAGACCGATGGTGATATATTCACGTCACGGAATACTTCCTAACTGAAAACGAATGAACCTCAGTTTATAGTAACAGAATGGGTACCCGCTGGATACATACCACGGAGGGGGTGGGGCGGAGGGGAATAAAAAGTTCCAGAAGATGACACAGTGAAATGTATATTGAGCTCAAACACCAAGCACCACTAAGCAATGTATAGTTTAAACACATTTATTTATGGTGATACGGGTAGTTTAAACAAACAAGAAATATAAATGGTAGAAGGTGTGTTTGGGGTGGATGAGGGAAGCCAGGAGCAGATGTGGACAGGTAGGTGTATATACATTATTGGTAGAGCTACAGTTCTTTTTTCTTTTCTTTCTTTTTTCTTTTTTTTTTTTTTTAAAATATATTTCATTGATTTTTTACAGAGAGGAAGAGAGAGGGACAGAGAGTTAGAAACATTGATGAGAGAGAACCATCGATCAGCTGCCTCTTGCACACCCCCTTCTGGGGATGTGCCCGCAACCAAGGCACAGTTCTTGAATAGTGCTTTATACCTAGTATATTGCATATATATATATATATATATATATATCCTATATAATAAAAGGCTAATATGCAAATTGACCAAATGGCAGAACAACCGGTCACTATGACATGCACTGACCACCAGGGTGCAGACCTTAACACAGGAGCTGCCCCCTGGTGGTCAGTGCGCTCCCACAGGGGGAGCCCTGCTCAGCCAGAAGCTGGGCTCACAGCTGGTGAGTACAGCTGTGGTGGTGGGAGCCTCTCCCGCCTCCACACCAATCGGACATCCCCGCCTGCCCCCCCCCCCACACACACACACCAGGGCTCCTGGACTGCGGACTGTGAGAGGGCGCAGGTCAGGCTGAGGGACCCCCCTCCCCAGTGCACAAATTTCATCTAGTATATATATACTAGAGGCCCTAGGGGATCGGCCTAAGCCAGCATTCAGATATCCCTCTCAGTCTGGGATCCCTTCTGCAGTCCTGGACCCCTCACCCCTTACTACTGATCGCTGTTCCTTAGCACTGGCCGAGAGGTGGGAGAGGCTCCCGCCACTGCCACTGCGCTCTCCAGCCGCGAGCCCGCCCTGCTTCTGGCTGAGCTGTGCTCCCCCTGTGGGAGCGCACTGACCATCAGGGGGCAGCTCTTACATTGAGCGTCTGCCCTCTGGTGGTCAGTGTGCATCCTAGTGACCGGTCATTCCACCAGTCGTGCCGCCATTCGGTCTGTTTGCATATCAGGGTTTTATTTTATATATATATATATATAAAATCAGGTAACATTAAAACTCAACAAAGAAACAACTTTAAGGCCAGAACCTTAGGGGTTGTCACTGTTGTCAATACTTATCTTCAAACCTGATCTGTCCCTTTACAAAACAGAGAGTCACGTTAAGTGCTACGATGACATAGAACAGGTATCATCCTAAGCAATCCTCCTCCCCCCTCTCAGCTCGACTACTGTGCTCCACTCCGGAGCATGTTGTAAAGATCTGCATATCACTCCATGGAGAATCATCTTGCCCTTTGTATCCAGTGCTTAGCATCGCGTGACAGAAAGGAACTGTGCTTTTCTTACCATTCTCCTTTTAAGGGGCTCTTGGTGAGATTTCCAGGTTCTTACTATCACTGGCAAAGCCACGAGGAACATTTTTGTCTCTGTCTTCTTAGACACAAGTGTCTCCTCGGTGCCTTTCCAGAAGTTAAATTGCACGCTTACCATTGGAATGACAGTGCCAGATGGTTCTCTGCGGGAAGGCTGGTCTTCTGACGCAGGGGCCTGCCCTGCACGGCCACGGTGGACAGACCCCCCCGTCTGTCTGGGTGTGCGTTCCCTGCTGTGAGAAACAGTGGTCATTTTCACAGTCACACCCTTCCATGAGCTATTAGCGTGAGCTGGGCCTATGTTTAGCACTTTCCATTCATTATATTCATCTCTTGGAATCTCTCATCTATAACACAGGGATAATGGTGGGGAAGACTGTCTCATTTGGCGGGAGGTAGTTTGGCATTGGGGTGGGACCCTTAGACGGTGGAAGCTGTTCATCTATGTTGGAAGCAGGCTGAGCTAAGGGGTGACTTCACCTCCGTGAGCCTCAGTTTCCCGCATTCACAAAATGGGTGTGATGAAAATGTACCAAAGAGAGTGTACACATACATATACTCACGGGTCGTCCTGCGAGGAAGAAAGGAAGATTATGCCTGCAAAGGGGCATGTGGCTTATGCTCTGTGAAAGTTGCCACTCCTCCCCACTCCCCATCAGGTGGGCCTCATGACCACCCTTTTACAAACGAGAGGTCCAGTCACTTGCTCAAAGCCACCTACGTGATGGATCCAGAATCTGAACCCAGGTCCAAGTTCAGAGACCCAGCTCTGCCCCATTGCCTGTCCCCCTTCCACCCCTTCCCGGACTGCTAGCCGCTAACCTAAGCTCTGAGCCTCCGGCTCCAGGATATCCTGCTATCCTGAGGTTTCTGTGGCCTTGGTATGAAGTCAGGGCCTGCCCTCTGGTGGCAGCTTCCAGAAGTGCATGACTAAGACAGCCATCTGCTTTTTCTGGTGTGAGGTGGGACCACTCAGTGTCCTCTCCTCCCTCCCCCACCAGGCACCCTGATAGTTCAGTGTTAAAAGCGACATCAGAGATCTCCATCCTCATGAAGGGCTCGAGATGACTGAGACTCTCCGTTCAGTTCTAAGCCAAAGACCTCCAGGACAAAAGTGAACAATAAAATACACGGCTACAACGTCCAGCATTTAGGATGTGCCAGACACTGCGCAGAGTCCTTGGCGGGTGTTCTGTACGCCTTTCCCACCCTCAGCAGCACCTTGTGAAGGAGGCTGTTCTGCCGTCGTGCAGATGAGGAAGTTGGGGCTCAGTGAGGTCCACTGGCCTGCTCAGAGCCATCCAGCTCCTCTGAGGCCTGGGTGGGATTTCAGAGCCTGGGCACCCACCTCATCACGCTGCCCTGTTTTGCCTGAGGATTGTCCAAGGGGAGCCCCAACGCCCTGGTGGTCTCTGACTTTCTCCAATTCTCTCTCTCTCTCTTTCTCTTAGATTTCGTGAGCTCTACAGTAAGCTCTGTGTTGCGGCCAGGGGGTGATGTCTCCAGCTGGGGAGTCCTCCCCTGCCCAGTCGCTCACTCACAGGGACCCTGAAGGCCAGGATCACAGCCCAGGAACTGACCTGCCCTCAGTGTGTCCCGTCTCTTGCCCTCTCATCCTCCAGTCAAGCTCTGAGGGAAGACCCCAATCTCAGACTGACGTCTCGTCTGCTACCCGCCTGCCAGCTCCAGACTTTGAAGAGAGGTGGAGGCTGGGTGCAGCCTGGGGGAGGGGAGAGGCCCTGCAGACCCTGGGAGGGCCTGGCTCTGCCCCTCCCTCAACCGACCTAAGGGAGCCGAACATCCCTTGGGAGCTTCTCCTCTCCTCTCCCACCTGGCCTGGGGCCCCCCGTCTCCCCGGGGAAGGAGGCACTCGATCTGGGAGCTACTGCCTGGTCACATCCTTGCCACCTCTGGTCCCTGCCTCCTGTAGAAACTTATTCAAGACACTGCCCCAGGGCAACCAAACTCTTTCCTTTCCTTCCCCCCCCCCACCTTTTTGGCGATGATGGTTCCATCACACCTTTGCAGAGCTCCAGGCGTCACCAGCCTGCTCCCAGCTCTCCTGAAGGAGTCTGAGCTGCACCGAGGGAGAAAGCACAGGGCCTCCCTGTCTCCTGGCGCCCTGTCCAGCCCCGCGTCTGAGAAAAGACACACAGCCCCAGAAGGAACGGCAGGAGATGCCGGGACTCCGGGCAGCCAGGGCCGGCAGTGGCTGTGCCCGGGGTGGGTCTGGCTTCGCTGCTGGGACGTCCTGCCGCTGACTGGACCCTCGGCCCCAGCTCGTTTTGTACAGCACAGACCCTTCGGCCCTGTTGTTAGGGTTGGAGGTTGGGGAGGGGCCTACCTGTGGGGCTTCGGGGGAGGTATCACCCCTCTGCCCCTTCTTGTGCTGCCTGACCCTGGCGTTTGCTAAGGGCAGGGACTGTCTTGCCTCTTTGATACTTTTCTGCATAACTTGAACTTGCAGGTCACCTCTGAACAGGGTACCCCCTGTCCCCATCCCCAGGCCTTGTAACCCTGCCCCCACCTCTTTTCCTCTTGGCCCACCTCTCGCCTTGCGATATGCCCGATGGGCAGTGCTTGGAGCCGAGGCGTGTGTGAGTGAGTGTGTGTGTGTGTGTGTGTGTGTGTGTGTGTGTAAGTGTGTGGAGGGGGCGTCCTCTCTCCCCCTCTCCTCCCATGGGGGCATCTCCCTCCTGCTTGGCGAGAAGCAACTGAGGGAGATTTCAGGTGTTTCTGGACTTCCCTCTCTGCCGCATGGGCCTGGCCGGGGGTCACCTGGCTGGGGGCGAGGCAGCCCCTTTCGGGCCCGAGTCCAGGCGGCATGTGGGCTTTCTCCAGCGTGCCTGCTTCTGGTTGCAGGGCCCCCTGGAGAGGAGCCTGCGACCCCACCATTCTGTCCTGTTGGCTCAGCCAAAGGAGGGGAGAAAAGCATTAGTGCCATGTATTTGCCAACCTGTGTTCATTTCCATTGGAATGGAACCTGAGAGGGAGGGTTTCCGAGACAGACTCTAGGAATCCCCTGTTCGAGTCCCCCATCTGGACCCAATCCGGATCGGATGCTGGATCCTGGTAGGATTCCTCAAACCCGGAGCTCCCCAAGTCCTGACCCTCCCTCCTCCCTACACCTTCCCGCAGTGCTCTGCCCAGCACCGTGCCCCTTTCTTCTGCTCCTGCCAAGCCCTGCCCTGCAGCCCCCACTCGCACCTTCCTCAGCAGGCTGCCTGCAGGTGGGGCTGGGCACCAGGGTCCCAGGTGGAAGGGAAGGGAGAGGAGAGCCTTGTGGGAGGGAGGGAGTGCGGGAGGGGAGCAGATCCAATCCAAAACTCAGTGTTGGAAGGCTGCAGAGAGAGAGGCCGGACCAAGTGGTTAGGAATGGGGAGAAGACAGAGGTGGGAGAAAGAATGAGTCAGGAGAGAGGGAGAAGGAGAGGCAGAGATAGAGTAAGAGGGATGGAGGGCAGAGAGGTTTAGAAATGGAGAAAGGAGAGAGGAAGAGTGAACAGAAGGGGGAACTAGAGGGACAGAGAGCCTGAGGGGGTGGGGGACAGGGGTGGGGGAGGGGACTGGAAAGAGGCATTGGAGTTAGGGAAGGAGGCACTGGCAAGACAGTGGTGGGAGACCAGACTGGGATGCAGGGAGAAATGGAAGGGACAGGAGAGGAGGAGGAGGATGAAGGCCACAGGATGTTGAGGAAGAGGGAGCAGCTGCTTCTGTGTGTGCACTGTGTCCGGGACCACCATCCCATGTGCCTTGGGGAGAGGTTAGAACCTGCCCCCTCATAGGCCAAGGACGGGCCCGGCGGGGCAGTGCAGATGATTTCTGAGCTGGTGAGCGCCCCTGGAGCTGGTGGGTGGTAGAGAGGAGGGAGGTTCATTTCCTTGGAGACGTCTGACAGTGTTTCCATGACACCCTCTGCTCAGCCAGCTGCTGCCCTGGCGGAGGAATTTGGGGTTAGGAAAGCCGTGTTGGGTGGCCTGAAGGAACACCAAAGGAACACAGGGAAGGGAAAGAGGTCAGAGTGGGGACCAAACCACAGCTCTGTCCCTGAGGCTTCCCCAGAGGTGGGAGCACAGGGGTAACAGGTGCTTTAGCCAGGGCCCCAGGGAAGCCCAGATGTGGCCAGAGGGCTCCCGGAGCGAGGAAGCCAGAATGGCCAGGGGACGCTGGCCTCTGGGAGGAGGTGGGAGCAGAGAGAGGGCTGTCTCTCGTACTCTCTCTCGGTCCCTGAAAGCTGAGCTTTGAGTAGCTCTCTGAGGAGCTCCTCCCCATTGTGACTGGGTCAGAGGGTCTGGCACCCCCCCTCCCCCCCAGCTTTCTCTGCCCGGAGCTGGGGGGACTCTATCAGGATAGGCCAACGTGGCCACAACCTCGATGTGGTTCAGAGTGCTGGTTGGTCAGATCCTTCTGGGTTCCTGGGATGTGAAAGCTTCCCTCTTTGGGGACCAGTACCCCTGGAGGAAAACATTGATTTCCTGAGGGCATGAAGACTGGTAGAATCGAGATCCTTGTCACACTCCAAACAGCCGAGACATTGTGAGCTATAGACAAGGCTGTGGGGGAAATTCCTTGGACTTTTGAGATTTCCTGCCTGGACCCAGGGGAGTCCCCCTTCTCTGGCTTCCAGTGTGGGCTGAGAAAGGGAGACCCTCTCTCTGGAGACGCTGGGAGGTCCCCAGCACAAGACACTTCCACAGGCCCCTGCCAGGCTCAGGGCTAGCCTTTGGGTGGGACTGCAGTTTCCTGAGAAAGGAACAAGGGAGCCACAGTCCTTCCCGGAGCTCTGACCGGCAGACCTCAGAGGGCCTGTGCCGTGTGACGTTAGGATAGCTTGGTGTTGTCTACGCCCCATTAGTAAGTTTTGTCTGAATGTGTCCTCACTGTTCATTGTTCCACTTGGTAACACTTATTTCGGTCCAGACCCCCTTCTGCTGCTGCTGGATTTGAGCTTCAGTACAGGTGGAATGATGTTCAAATAAAGAAACAATTTACATCACCCGTGCTGGCTTCTCTTTCTGAGTCGGCCCGGGGGGTTAGGAGGGGTGGGATCCAGCCTGACTCCCTATTGGGTCTGGCTGCATCATCGTGACAGAGCTCCACCGTGGTGGCTCAGCAGGATGGTTTCTCTTCCCGCCGCGGGAATTCGGAGGTAGCCAGGCCATGACCAGTGTGGCCCGAGGTGTGGTCAGATACTCAGACTGTCTTCCTCGGGGCCACTTTCACGGCCCAACATGGCTGCTTGGCATCTGGTCACGTGGTCCGCTTTTCCTTTGGAGGGGACTTCCGGAAATCCCAGAGGGCTGAGTCCCAGGAGCACACTAGCTGAAAGGTGGTCTGTGAACTGGGCCCATTGCCACCCCAAATGAAGTTGAGGTTCTGATACCAAGGGAAAGGAGAAGATAGATGGAGTGGGTGCGGGCAGCCTGCACATGCCTGGTTGCACAGACTTGACTTTGGACATGGGAGTCGAACTGCAGCAAACAAGACTCCACCCCTTTCTGCCTGTGTGGACTTGGAAAAACCCCTCTCTAAATCCCGTTACCATTTTTGCACTTGGGAATTGTGGGCACTCAGTATAGACTAAGCACTGAAGGAACAAAAACAGAGACCCTGACTTAATGGCCCGTCCAGTTGGGGAAGTAACATGTAAAAATGTAAAATTTGCGAGGTGCAGGGAATTGTGGGTGCCCTGGGTAGGGACACCTTACTGGCTTTTGGAGGGTTGGGTAGAGCTAGGGAGAGGTTTACTGTAGGATAAATAGGATCTAGGCCGGCATGGGTCAGAAAAGCTACTCAAAAAAGAAGGCAGGCCCTGCCCAATCTTACCCAGTGGCTAGAGCATCAGCCCATGGACCGAAGGGGTTGCAGGTTCTATTCCTGGTCAAAGGCATGTACCTTGGTTGCAGATTCCATCCCCAGCCCTGATCAGAGCACATGGGGGAGGCAACCAATCGATGCTTCTCTCTCTCCAACTCTCCCTCTCCTTCCTCCCTTTCACTCTCTAAAAATCAATAGAAAAAAAATGTCCTCAGGTGAGGTTTAAAAACAAAAACTATGATAGCTATTTTTTTCCTCTTTTCTCCCCTCCTTCTTTATCTTGATAATTACTTTTTAAAAAAAAAAAAAGAAAAGAAAGAGAGCATCTTGAGGATAGAGGCCGAAGTAAGAAATAGAATTGTCTGTGCAGAGAACTAAATGCTGGACTGTAAAGTGTGAGGCAGGGAGGGTCAGAGATTAATTGATTAGTCTGGAGAGACAAAGGCCAGATGGCAACAAAGCTCCAGATCTGAGAGCAATGGGGAACCATGGAAGGATTTTAAGCAGCAAAGGAACACAATTAGATTTGCATTTCAGAAAAATAACTCTGATTGCAGTGTTAGGGGGCTGAATTAGAGGGAGACATTTTAATGAAAGAGAAATAAAAAGTTTGGCCTGAAGCAAGGTGGTGGCAGTGTCTCTGAGAGGTAGAAATTCAGTATTTAGGAAGCAGACTTGAGGACACATGGTAACTGATTGTGAGAAAAAGACCATTAGGAAGAAAATCTGACAGTAC